GTTCTCATTGGTCAACTTGCAGCAGAGACAGTAGAAACAGAAATTGAAGAAGGAGAGTTCATTCGATTGGAGGTTAAAACTACTAAGTTACCTCTTACTCACTTTGTTCCTGGACAGCTCGACGAATCTCCAGCGCTTTCTCCTTTCATCATTTCTTCATTTTATACTAACGCCGGTTTTTATCAGCGATCGACAGGACACAAAGCAACAGAGGATATATGGCATCAATAGTTAGGTCATCCGTCTCAAGTCATACTTAATCATTCCATACGAGCATCATTTCTTGACGAACAGTTTAAACAGTTTAAACTGGAACAGAGATGAAGTCATCTTCCCGATCGATAGTCTGCACGACGTGCACCACTGCTAATCTTCCTCACGAACCTTTTCCAAGTCATTTTCCCAGATCAACTCGCTACAACCCTTATGCAAAAAGTCTACAGCGACATACTCAACTTACCTAGCTGGACCTAAGAGGGAGCTCTATATGATCTCCTTTATCGAAGCTTCTACTCGCTACGTTTGGACTGCCAATATTCCAGCTCGCCATATGGCTCACTCTATCTTTGTCGCATGGCTCGCGGTGGCTGAGAGAGATTCGAAGGAAAAGCTTCAAGAATTCAAGAGTGACGGCGCAGGAGAGTATATGAACACAACCTTCACTGAGTATCTTCAAACCCTAGGCATCAAACGCCGAAGGTCTCTGCCACATCAACACCAATAGATGGGGGTAGCGGAGCGGATGAACAGAACGTTACAGGAAAAGATGAGAGTCTTGCTGACTCAGGCAACACTTCCACCGCATTTCTGGACATACGCTTTGGATCATGCAGTTCTTCTGCACAACTTGTTGTCCACAACATCTCTTCCACAATTTTCTTCGACCCACTTGCAGTGGACAAAGACAGTCGGCAACACAAAAAAAAAAAGATTTTTTGGGTGTATGGTCCAATACCGACCTCCAACTGCAGCACTCAGAAAATTAACGGAAAGGGCTGAATGGGGGATTCATCTTGGCATCGAGAAGCCGTTTTACGCATGGAAAATTACGGATCTTCGCACGAGTCAAATCATACCAGCTTGTGATTGCCTTTTCTATGAAAGACTCACCTTACTTGTTTTTCGTGCTCACCAGGCAGCAGCTGCCAATCCTTCCAGGCTGTTTGAAGGCTCGCGTGCTTTCGCTACCGACAAAGCTGAGGCAGATGTACAGGATGAATCATTTGCCGAGTCCTCCGAAGCAGCCACAGACATCCCCGTGCCAACCACGTCAGCTGGAACTGCCGAGTTTATTCCCCACAGCGAAGCAGACTCTTAAGATGTCAGGGATTTTATTCTTGATCACGAACGTGATCGCCAGCAGCAGCCCATGCCCATTCTTTCCGAACCAGCAATCTGTGTGACACCTGAAGAAATTGGGGGGGACTAGGGGTCAAAACACAACTTCTCTGGTGTCAACTCAAATCGTCCTCGTTTTACAGAAACTGGGTTACAGGTATTGGGACTCGCAGTCGCAGTACAGTCAAACATCAGTAAGATTTTGGAGCCAAAAATAGTTCGCCAAGCTTTGACAAGTTCACACAGGAAAAAATGGCGAGAAGCCATGGACCAGGAGTTAGCAGCTCTGCAACAGCGAGGTACCTGTGATCTAATCCCACTGAATGAAACAAAGGGGAGTAAGGTACTTACCGGCGAATGGGTTTTTCGTGTGAAGACGAACGCTAATGGTTCCTTTGAAAAATTCAAGGCGTGATGGGTTGTCCGCAGCTTCGAGCAGACTTTTGGACTCGACTACGAGCTAACCTTTGCTCCCATTGGCAGACATACTAGTGTCCGCATCCTGCTCTGCGTCGCAGCCTGTCGGATCTTCAGACTTCGCCAAATCGACGTCGCCAATGCATTTCTATATGCAGCTGTCGATGCATTCATTTTGGTTGAGTACCCGCATTCTTACGAAACTAACCCTCCCAGCGTCTGCCATCTCAGAAAGTCTCTCTACAGCATTAAACAGGCCCCACGCCCATGGCAGCAGTATCTACACAGTCAGTTACTAACTGCCGGGTTTCGTTGACTCCCGCACGACCAAGGAATGTATTTACTTACCGACAATCTTGACTACATCCTACTCGTCGGTTATGTCGACGACTAACTCTACATGAGCACCACTGATTCCCTCGCTTCTTCCTTCGAACAAACACTTCAACAACATCTATAGATCACCATCATACCTACTGTCACACAGTTTCTTGGCCTTAACATACACCGCATACCAGACTTCCAGGTGTTGCTTGACGCACGACGATTAAAGGTGGCCGTCTCCTCCCGCCCTCCCCCCTGCTTGACGTCGATAGCGCGAAGCTGGAAGTGATCCTTATCTCCTGCATTGGGTTGTAGGGACACAGCAAGGGAGTCGGAGATGGGAGTGTGAGCGCCGCACGACGTATGGCCCTACCGAGCGCGTCACAATGACGGCATTGTTGGTTTTGGTGGCGGATTCAGATGCTGGGAGGTCCGTGCACTGAGGTTTGCGCATGAGCGTGATGCCCCTTCTTGTCTGTCTCTCGACGTGCATCGCATACTGTATACGGCGCGGCTCAGAGGGGGATTCAGTACGTGCATGCCATGGCATCCTCAGCTGACACGCTCGTGATGAGCTGAGGATGCTTACGGCGCGTTTGCAACTGGGCCACGGCATCCTTAGCTCACACATGACGTGTGCCGTTTCGCCAAGGCTGCCGTCCCAATAATGGCGCGTATGCGACTCTCGTACGTTGATGGTTGGGAGTCGCGTGGGCCTGGGCCGGTGTCTTAGGGCGGCTGCATTTGGAGGCTTGCTTTTGGCAGCTAATCGGGTATAGTGGCTTGCATACACTCCCGCGTAGGTCTGTCCACGCACCTCGCTATTGTCTCCCCTAGTTGTCATGGCTGGTCCCCCTGACTGTAATTGTGGCACGTGTTACTGCTCTAAGCTGTCATGTCGAAGTTGATTCTGTGTGCTTGTGCTATGGTAGCAGAATGGCGCTAGTCGTGCGGGTTTCGGCTCGTCGATTTGCTGGGGGCGCTTGAATCAGGAATTGCAAACCTGGAAAGCACTTGTTTTCCTCGGTCGCTTTGCGCCCCTTTTCCCTCAACGCTCTCCCCTCCCCTATAATCGTCGAGTGCACGTCGCATGGGTGCGAGCGATCCGCACATTGCCATTTGCGTTTTGCGCAAAAATCACTGTGTCGTAACGCACAGCATGGTTGTTCGTTTTCGGTCTGGACCAATCAAAGGCTTTGGCTGTTTTTCGTTTTGTTCCCAAGCACGAAATGGAATGCTCTTGTTCGGAAACATAGTTTGGATGTTTCTACACTTCACCGATATTCAGCACCTCAAAATTCAAGTGGCATCAGGGTCTGCTGTTATAGCCGCGGGCATTAAAACACAAAAAACATTCCCAGGGTTTTGTTTTAGTTTCTGATTGAGCGACAACCATTCTTTTATAATATAAAACTTGAAAGTTGCACACTTAGTAGTTATTGCACGTTAGTGATAAAAATCATGAGGAAGGTGAAACGATGTTAAAAGAAAACTCGGCAGACCATTGCATGTATATTGTTGGACTATGATATACACCATCGATATTCCTTATACCATTCTTATGTTTCATTCAAAACCACAGGCTAGAAAACCACACCCTTAGCGCTCTTGAAAACTGAGTTTTGGGGGGGTCATAATAAATGACCCAGACTGGAGCACTACACACCAAACGAAGTGAAAAATAGTGTGTTGCGACCGTTTGAACATAGCGAGAGGGCCACGACGCACCAAGCTTGTCCACGACTCCAGCGGAACAGCGACAAGAGTAAAGTCGCACAACTGAACCAAAATTTGTCGAGTGCGACTACCACCCTGGAACCCGTCGTTCAAGAGCTCCATGGGTGTGCTTCACGATTCAGAGGAGGAGATTATCTCATAGTCAGACAAGCTTAGGTAGCCATAGCTGCCACAGCATAGGTTAAAAAAAAAGAAAACTGCCCGCCCATCGACGACCAAGTCCCATCACTACAGGGGAAAGGTTTTTTATCCTTTCGAAAATGATACCTCGGGCGCAATACCGGCGTGCACAGTGGGACGAGTTAAGATCGTCGTACAAGACATAGTGCCCGCCGAAGTTTGCGTACCGAAACTGCTGTAAGACCCGCCATTAGGCCCCGCGACTCTAGTGGAGGTATATAGTTGGAGATAAAAAAAAACAGGCCACGACACACTCCCGCGAGGGGATTGGGCTATGGATAACGAGGAGATCTGGGGGACGCGCAGCAAGGAGAGGGGGAACGTGCGGCGAGAAGAGGGGGGAATGGATGGCGACGAGAGGACATCACAAAACATCCCCACCTAACCTCGCCGAAATTTGGGCTGAGGTCAGCCGAAGTGGCCGAAACTTGGCGGAAAAGCATTCCAAGTTTCGGGCTGTTTTCGGAATAGTGAGGCAACTGCATCCCGCATGGGGCTGTGTCGAGCTTCGGGCCAAAAATCGCGACGCGTATTCCGCCAAGGTTCGTAACTGTTTCGGGCTGAAAAATGTGTGACGCCAAAGAGTGTTGCGCGTGACTGTTTCGAGTGTGATTAGTTCATTATTTAATTGAAATAACTCAAACACTAGAAACACTCTTTCTTCGTTGCCACCTAATTGAGACCACCGACATTTGGCAGCTGACGTGGCAATGTGCAACAGTAAATGCCGGTTTAGGTCGGTATCATGTAGTTAGCTGTTGGCTACAATGATATAATTCACGAAATGTGAATATTAAATTGTTAATAAATGCACTAAAAAAACCTGGTTACAATCCTACATAATCACACCTAAAACACCTATACAGCCACCTTCACCAATCCTGCTACTACCACCACTAATATTGCCTGGTGTCACATATTAGATGCCCTTGCTGATTTTTCCTGCCCCTATATACTTCTAATCTAGCTGCTTCTCCTGCCCCAGCCACTTTTGCTGTCCTGCTGCTTCTGCTGTCCCAGCTGCGACTACTGCCCTAGCGCTTATGCTGCCACCAGCTGCTTCTGCTGCCCTAGCTCCCTCCCCCCTGCCCGACCTTCCTCTTGCTGCTTCCCCCCCTTCCCTCCCCTTGCTAGCTGTCTCAAGCTGACCTAGCTGCCTCATGCTGCCCTAGCTGTCTCATGCTGCCCCAACTGCCTCATGCTGCCCTAGCTGCCTCATGCTGCCCTAGCACCTCCTGCCGCCCTAGCTGCCTCCTGGCGTCTCTACACATGCCACATTATCCATCCCTCACATTTGCTACATCCTTCTGCCCCTCCTGCTCCCGTCCTCCCTTGTTTTCCCTGCTCCTCTTCCCATGATTTTTCAGGCTCCCCTCTACCCATGCCTCTGCTGCGCCCCTTTTCCCATGCATCTGCCACTACCATCTGCTTCCACCCATCATCCCTTAGTATGCTCCTCACTCCAGCACTTGTCCAATCCTCATGCATGTGCTTCCATCCCTGGGCCATTCCGTGCCTCCATTCATCCTCCCTTTATCCCTTGCCATAGCCCCTTCTGCTCCCCCATGCTACTGCTGCCCATGACTATCATGCTGCCCATTACTCTCATGCTGCTGCTGCCCATTACTCTCATGCTGCTGCTGCCCATTACTCTCATGCTACTGCTGCCCATTACTCTCATGCTGCTGCTGCCCATGACTCTCATGCTGCTGCTGCCCATGACTCTCATGCTGCTGCTCCCCATGACTCTCATGCTGCTGCTGCCCATGACTCTCATGCTGCTGCTGCCCATGACTCTCATGCTGCTGCTGCCCATGACTCTCATGCTGCTGCTGCCCATGACTCTCATGCTGCTGCTGCCCATGACTCTCATGCTGCTGCTGCCCATGCCTCTGCCGCTGCTGCTGCCCATGCCTGTCGTTGCTGCTGCCCATGCCTCTGCCGCTGCTGCTGCCCATGCCTCGCAGCTGCTGCCCATGCCTCTGCCGCCGCCGCCCATGCCTCTGCCGCCGCTGCTGCCCATGCCTCTGCCGCCGCCGCTGCCCATGCCTCTGCCGCCGCTGCTGCCCATGCCTCTGCCGCCGCTGCTGCCCATGCCTCTGCCGCCGCTGCTGCCCATGCCTCTGCCGCCGTTGCTGCCCATGCCTCTGCCGCCGCTGCTGCCCATGCCTCTGCCGCCGCTGCTGCCCATGCCTCTGCCGCCGTTGCTGCCCATGCCTCTGCCGCCGCTGCTGCCCTGGCCTTTGCCGCCGCTGCTGCCCATGCCTCTGCCGCCGCTGCTGCCCTGGCCTTTGCCGCCGCTGCTGCCCTGGCCTCCACCGCTTCTGCTGCCCAAGTCTATTCTGCTGCCGCCACGCATGCCTGCCATTGTTGGCTTCTCCCCCCCCCCTCGTTCTGCTCCAGCTGCCCCACCTCCACCACGCCTCACCACCTGCCTCCGCCACTCATGCAAGGGCGCCGCCCGTCCTCATGCGGGCGAGGGTGCGTGCCACGAGCTCGGGGTAGTCGGACGCATCAATGCGCACCCCATTGCCAAACTCGAAAACCTCGGCCTCGTCGTCGTACGGCACACCAAGGTTGTCCACGGCGTGCTCCACCCACCTGCGGCAGTGCAACACCATGGCCTCGTACCCCCGGCGATTGTCTTCACTGTCTTGGCTCAGCTTTCCCTCGGCGGTTTTGTAGTTGTGCAGTGTGGCCTCCAACTGTGGCCGTGAATTTCGGGGGGCGACAAAGGACAGGAGAGATAGGCAAACGAGGGTTGTGGGGGGAGATGACGATGGGGGGGTGAAGGGGGAGGAAGGGGGGGGATGAGTTTATGGAGGATGGAGACATGGAAGGGTTGTTGGGCGTGCGATATTGCTAGGGATAGGGCGAGTGTGCACTCACCGCGTACAGCCCCCAGGCGATCTGGCGGGTCTTATAGCAGCTCATTTGGACGTGGCGCCGCTTGAATCCCCTGCGAAACCCCACAGCAAAGATCAGGGTCGAGAACGGCCACATCCGCGGCTTATCGACGTGCCAGATCAGACCCCACACCTCTGCAGAGGGCAACGATGGGGGACAGGATTCGAGGGCGTGGGGGGAGCAGAGGGGAGGTGGGCGGAAATTTGGAGTAGGACATGAGGGTTTCGAGGGGTGGGGGGTGGGGTGTTGGAGTGGTCGGCTAGCGTGTGGGGCAGCGCATGTGATCCATGGCATGACAAAAACGGTGAGAATGGCATGAAAGTAAGGACTGACCATCCGTGTTGTCTCGGACGAGCTGTTCATCGGTGTACCAGGCGGTTGGGCAGGTGAGCTCCCTCGGCAGGCTGCTGGCGTACTTTTGGTTCCGATGCAGCCCCAGCGCGGTCAACACGATCTTGCGCAAGATCCCCCCGATCGTGCTACGTGTGTTGGAGATCTGGTCGTGGAAGACGCCTCGTGTGGTCGAGTCGTTCATTGTCCACAGCAGGTTCAGGCACTCGATGATGTGTGCCGCAAAGTCCTCGCCGAATGAACGCAGAATCTCTTTAACCGTGGGGTAAAACTGGATTTTTGCAGCAGCACAGAGCCAGAACATGCGCGTTACAAGGTTGTAGCACTTGGCCTGCAGCATCACGGTTTGTAGAGGGGGGGGGGGGGGGGGGGGGGGGGGGATGGGGGGGGGGTATATGGAGCGAGGAAGGGGGATGGGGAGGGAATAGGAGGGGGTTGGGGGTTGACGGGACACAGATGGGGAGGGGAGCTTAGGACATGATGAGATGGGAGAGTTTAGGGTTGAGCGAGATGCACGGCTGCCATGCCATGCACTGCTGCCTAGCTAGGCACTGCTGCCTAGCTAGGCACTGCTGCCAAGCTAGGCACTGCTGCCTAGCTAGGCACTGCTGCCAAGCCCCGCTCTGCTGCCAAGCTACGCACTGCTACCAAGCCACGCACAGCTGCCAAGCCACCCACTGCTGCCAAGCCACGCACTGCTGCCAAGCCACGCACCACTGCCAAGCCACGCACTGCTGCCAAGCCACGCACTGCTGCCAAGCCACGCACTGCTGCCAAGCCACGCACCGCTGCCAAGCCACGCACTGCTGCCAAGCCACGCACTGCTGCCAAGCCACGCACTGCTGCCAAGCCACGCACTGCTGCCAAGCCACGCACCGCTGCCAAGCCACGCACTGCTGCCAAGCCACGCACCGCTGCCAAGCCACGCACTTCCGCCAAGCCACGCACTGCTGCCAAGCCACGCACTGCTGCCAAGCCACGCACTGCTGCCAAGCCACGCACTGCACCTGCACGGCCATTCACTGCTGCCAAGCCACGCACCGCTGCCAAGCCACGCACTGCTGCCAAGCTAGGCGCTGCTGCCAAGCTAGGCATTGCTGCCTAGCTAGGCACTGCTGCCAAGCCTCGCTCTGCTGCCAAGCTACGCACTGCTACCAAGCCACGCACTGCTGCCAAGCCCCGCTCCGCTGCCAAGCCACGCACTGCTACCAAGCCACGCACTGCTGCCAAGCCACGCACCGCTGCCAAGCCACGCACTGCTGCCAAGCCACGCACTGCTGCCAAGCCACGCACTGCCGCCAAGCCACGCACCACTGCCAAGCCACGCACCGCTGCCAAGCCACGCACTGCCGCCAAGCCACGCACTGCTGCCAAGCCACGCACTGCTGCCAAGCCACGCACTGCTGCCAAGCCACACACCGCTGCCAAGCCACGCACTGCTGCCAAGCTAGGCACTGCTGCCAAGCTAGGCATTGCTGCCAAGCTAGGCACTGCTGCCAAGCTAGGCACTGCTGCCAAGCTAGGCACTGCTGCCAAGCTAGGCACTGCTGCCAAGCTAGGCACTGCTGCCAAGCTAGGCACTGCTGCCAAGCCACGCACTGCTGCCAAGCCACGAACTGCTGTCAAGCCACACACTGCTGCCAAGCCACGCACTGCTGCCAAGCTAGGCACTGCTGCCAAGCTAGGCACTGCTGCCTAGCTAGGCACTGCTGCCTAGCTAGGCACTGCTGCCAAGCCCCGCTCTGCTGCCCAGCTACACACTGCTGCCCAGCCACGCACGGCTGCCAAGCCACACACTGCTGCCAAGCCATGCACTGCTGCCAAGCCATGCACTGCTACCAAGCCATGCACTGCTTGGTACTGCTGCCAAGCTAGGCACTGCTGCCAGGCTACGCACTGCTGCCTAGCTACGCACTGCTGCCAAGCCACGCCCTGCTTCCAAGCCATGCACTCTTGCCAAGCCATGCACTCTTGCCAAGCCATGCACTCTTGCCAAGCCATGCACTCTTGCCAAGCCATGCACTCTTGCCAAGCCATGCACTCTTGCCAAGCCATGCACTCTTGCCAAGCCATGCACTCTTGCCAAGCCATGCACTCTTGCCAAGCCATGCACTCTTGCCAAGCCATGCACTCTTGCCAAGCCATGCACTCTTGCCAAGCCATGCACTCTTGCCAAGCCATGCACTCTTGCCAAGCCATGCACTCTTGCCCAGCCATGCACTCTTGCCAAGCCATGCACTCTTGCCAAGCCATGCACTCTTGCCAAGCCATGCACTCTTGCCAAGCCATGCACTCTTGCCAAGCCATGCACTCTTGCCAAGCCATGCGCTCTTGCCAAGCCATGCACTCTTGCCAATCCATGCACTCTTGCCAAGCCATGCACTCTTGCCAAGCCATGCACTCTTGCCAAGCCATGCACTCTTGCCAAGCCATGCACTCTTGCCAAGCCATGCACTCTTGCCAAGCCATGCACTCTTGCCAAGCCATGCACTCTTGCCAAGCCATGCACTCTTGCCAAGCCATGCACTCTTACCATGCCAAGCAGTGCCACCAAGCCACGCACTGCTGCCAAGCCAGGCAGTGCTGCCAAGACAAGCATTGCTACCAAGCCTAGACACTACTAACAAGCCAAGCGGTGCTACCAAGCCAAGCAAATGTACCGACACTAGCACTGCTATCAACCGACGGCACTGTTACACGCATGCCGCCACTGCTACCCTGGCCAATACCGTACCGCGATCGGCTTCTGACAGAACCGTCCCAGGCCCGGGTCCTACCCGAGCACCCACCCAAGCCACGCACCTGCCAGCCCATATCCTGCTCACCTTGAAGTCCTCCGCCGCCAGGAGAACCTCACGGCGAGCCAACGTGGCTGGACTCGGCTCCTCCTGGCTTCCCTGTCCAGTGGACGCCGGGCCATTCCCATTCGCCACCCGACCAGCTGCGTACATCGCCCGCTGCCCGTCGATGAAGGCCGTGACAGTGGCCAGCAGCGCGGTCTTCATACGGTCCAGCTCAGCCATCAGCTCAGCCCTAGAGACGTACTTCTTCTTCGACGCCTTCTCATGGACGGCACGTAGCGCGCGTGGCCCAGCGCTGGAAGATGGGAGGACCACTGCGGCGGTGTTGGGGGCAGCGTCATTGTAGCGCAGGGTCGAGGTTAGGGTGGCTCCACCTGTCGGCGCCATGCGTCTTGTGCCTAGCTGAAACTGCTGCACCACCGGCGGACCGAGGCCAGACTGGGGGGGGGCTGTACACAAAGGGTAGGGTGTACCATGGTGTGCAGTTGTGGCAAAAGGGTGCACGTGAATGTCAGACTGTCAACAGGCGCATAATAGGGATACATAATGCACTGGCATGCCAGTGCATACCACAAGCGTACGTGACAAGGAAACCAGGGCAGATGCATTGCACACGTCAGGGCGAGGGCAAGGGCAGGGGCGCTGTAGTTGCATGGTGTCTGTCAGCAGCAACGGTCAACGGTGCACGTACCCTGCATCTCCGGTGCTCTCTTCTGCTTGGTCTTCCCTGCACGATGGGCCGGGATGATAGCATTGCAACAGTCATGTCAAGAAAACAGGGGGGCGCCTCTCTCTCAACCCGAGCTACCACTGAAATCCTCCCAACCCCGCTTCCTCTCGTCTCCTACCCAGGCCGGCTACAACTGGACCCCTCCCAAACCCGCCACTTCAAGCACTCTGCCAAACTGGGTTTGGGCGCACCTTTCCCCTTGCCGTCCTTGCCCCGCTTGTCTCCGTTGGCCGGCTCTGCCACTCCCCCGCTCTTGGGGTTACCTGCACCTGCACGGGGGAAGTGGGGTGGGGACGCATAGGGTACAGGGACCAATTTCTGGTGCCGCGAGTTTGTAATGCAGTGTGATGAGTCCGCGCACCACGATGAACACTGCCAATGCTCTAGCATAGCAGAAGCCTGTATGGCATAGAGCAAGGGACAGAACAGGCAATGAAGTGTACGTAACAACGTCACGAGCCAGACAGACGATGACACCCAAACTGACGCTGGCGTGCCTTCACCTCGGGAGCCCTTTGCCTTCCCAGTCGCTTCTTGGAGACGGCGACCAGACGGCGTGGGCGAGCCCGCCCTGCCGCGTCCGCGCCCCGACCGTTCCTGTCTAACGTCGCCCGCCTCTCCGGCTGCCTTCTGCCGTTGCCCGCCGTTCCGCGTCTTCATCTTCCCACCCTCCCCAGCTGCACCGCCCGCCGCTCCAGTTTTCATGTAGCGACCCCTGTTCATGGCACGCTGGTCCTCGTCGTCCATGTCATACCCGTCGCTCTGCCCCACAGCGGCCACTGCCCTCAGCTGGGGAGGCGAAGAGCTTATCAAAAGTAACGTCGTTCTTGCCCGCCGCCGTCTCGGCCACCGCAGCCTGCCCCATGCAAGCAGACTGCTCCGCCTCGCCCTCTGAGCTAGCTTCGTCGGCAGACTCAGAATCCGAAGATGAGTCTGAGGAGCTGGTATCCGTGCCGGAGCCAGACTGGGCGTGCCTCTGGTCGCCCTCTTCGCCGGACTCGCTCTCGCTACTGTTGCTGTCACCTTCCCCCTCCTCGTCTTCTCCCCCCTCACCGGCCGCTGCACATGGAGCGTCGGTGATGGCCTCTGCAGCACGGACGCCGCTGCCCCCGTGGTGACGTGGCAGTTGGCTCTGAAGCTGTGGCTGCACCGGGAGAGGCTGCAGCTGCAAAGGTTGCTGCTGGAGAGGCTGCTGCTGCAGAGGCTGCTGCTGGAGAGGCTGCTGCTGCAAAGGCTGCTGCTGGAGAGGCTGCTGCTGCAGAGGCTGCTGCTCCAGAGGCTGCTGCTGCAGAGGCTGTTGCTGCAGAGGCTGCTGCTGGAGAGGCTGCTGCTGCAGAGGCTGCTGCTCCAGAGGCTGCTGCTGCAGAGGCTGTTGGTGCAGAGGCTGCTGCTGGAGAGGCTGCTGCTGCAGAGGCTGCTTCTGGAGAAGCAGCTGCTGAAGAAGGTGCTGCTGGAGTGGCTGCTGCTCGAATGGCTGCTGCTGGAGTGAATGCTGCTGGAGTGGCTGCCCCTCACGAAGGCTTGGCAGCGCTTGCATCGGTCGCGCATCAGCATGCGTACGCTTGTGCTTGCGCGTGCCCTCCGCCTTATCACCCCGACGCTTGTGCTTGTGCCCCATGACATCTTTGGTAGCTAATGCAGGGACTGGTGTCTAACTATGTTAGCATCCAAAGGAGGGAAGCTGCATATGTACGGCCAGGCCAGCTCCACACCCGCCTCCTGGGCCGATCGCTCGCGGCGACACGGGCAATGACGGCCTTGTCTTGCCGAGGGAGGACGAGGGGAGTGTGGAAGGGGGTAGGGATAGGAGCCACGACGAGGAGCGAACCGAGGATGGTGTCGCCATGTCTGCGTCAGACGTGCCGCGCAGTCTAACGAGTGGTGCTGGCGATGCGTGCCTATGGCGATACGTGCCGCTGGCGATGCGTGCCGTTGGCTGCTGGCGTGCCGCTGGCGATGCATGGCGATGGCGATGCGTGGCGCTGGCGATGCACGGCTTGAGATATGCGTGGCGCTGGAGATGCGTTCGCCCTGCAGCGGCGCTAACGGGGTGTGGCGGGGATAGATCTCGGAGCCGCGCAAAGGTGGCGTCGCATCGCCCGTCAAATGAGTGCGGGCACGTCGCACGGCCTTCCGTGTCCTGGTCGCCACTCGCTCGCCACCACACGTGTCGAGGCGGCCTTTCAGCACACACTGTGCGTCGCGCGTGCCGCTGCCTATGCGTGCCCTTGAATGGCCGTCTATCGTGGGTGTGAAACAAGTCTGGGTACGGTGCCGCCTTTCATTGCCGGTGCACAAGGGCAAGACGCACGCGGGAGACCTGGCACTATGACACTCTCGCCTTGAGCGCCGCTGCTACTGGCTTGGCGTGCTCCAAGGGAGTGCAGCCAGGGGGAACGTGGGGATCCGTTACGACAGACAGCAGGAAAAGGGCGATCGGGTGGGCCGCCGTGAGACGAGCGAAGGCGGGAAAACATGAGATGGGCGAGGGACTGCCGTTGAATGACTAGGGAGCTATCAGGGTGACGGATGGAGTGGGAGAGGGAGGAAGGAAGGAGTCTAGTCTATCCTCCCGCTGCCTCGATGGACGAAGAAGCTGTAATTGTGTGGATCGATCTAAGTAGTGCTGGTTCAGCTCTCTCTCACATTGGTCCTAACACAGTTAACAGACACCGCACACACCAAGACAGCAGCGCAGGGTTCGGTTCGGGCAGGTGTACAGTACTGGCGAGACTGGTTTTGGAAAGCCCCCCAAAACCGCAACGAACACACACGCGGTCGGGGTCGCACTGGCTGTGTTTCAGGGCGTTGGATAGTTGCATATTTTCTTTTAGGGTTTCAGAACAGGGTCTGGCGGGGCGTTGCGATAAAGGGCGGTTGGGTAACGGGCGACTGACACGATAGGCCCGCTAAACGATGAGAATGCACACTCGCACGCGAACTTGAGAATGGGCAGTCGAAATTACCCCCCGACATGTGCAACGCAGAGTCACCCGACAACCTGGATTAAAAAAACAGTACAGCACTGCCTGGGCAGAACTCTTTCACGCGTGTTCCGCAATTGGAAAATATGGCGACATCAACAACGCAGGAAAGACCTTTCCAACCATTGGTTCTAAACTAACGGTGAGCAGCACTTCTAGTTGTCGCTAATCGCAAGTGTCCACCAGCCTGGCTGAGACCACCACCATTACACTGTAGTCGATGCCAACGAACAGCCCGTCCCATTGTACTGTAGTGCATTGAGCTCTTGCCCGGGCATTAAGCTTGAACATGGTTGTATCCCAAATTTGCGTACACTGGAATGTAATTTATTGTACATGCTTAGACAACATACTATGAATACTAGCACTGCATGTTAGTGTGCAGGTCCACCAGGTAGTGTGCATCCACCCGCGGGCCCCCCACCCGTCCTCCCGCTCGCCACCCCCCTGATCCGCCCGCATAATGTCAGGCCCACCCATCATAGAAGCAGCACGCAACAAGATGACCCGCGCCTTGGCCCGCTGCAGTGCCATGCCGATAGCATCCTAAATAGAGACCCCACCAAGTAAGCTGCAAAAGACTTCTCATTCCCAAAACCCGCCCCCTTGCTCCTCGCCACCCGGTGTGGAGTAAACTGCACACACCGATGCCGCTGCACCAATGCCTTATAGTCTGCCGTCTTGGACTTCTCCCGCTCGCGAGCTCAGGGTCCATACGCGCCTGCGCCCACGCCCACATGCCCATCCCCAGCCTCGCGCCGGCCCGCGTTCCCCTCCTCATCCGCAACCGTGCCCTCGTCGCCGCCCCCAGTCACACCCCCGCCCCCGCCCCCGTCCACCACCCCACGCTCCAGAAGGCAACACTTGTGTAAATGCACCTCCAGGCCAAGCCCCCCCAGCCGCTCGCGCAGGATGTCGTACGCCATAAGGACCCGGTCTGTGCGGATTGGCCAGCAATCCCCTATTAAAGCGCGTTCATGAGCCATAACACAGCACACACGGTGTCCATATGCTTTGCAAAGATGAGTTGGCATCATCAAGATGACGATCTCGCAGCGAACCTGAAGTGCTCTCCATGCCTTGCCTTAAACAGGCGACTAAGACACGGAAACAGCCGCCACGCTCATGCACGTGCACCCCTCGATGTGAAACTTAGCCATCAATATGTTGTTTTGGTGTGCTTTGCTCAGGCCACTCCAAACCCAGGATCCAAATTCCACCAGGACATCGAATTCGCGTCGTTCATAAAATGCGCTCGGTCCGTGCACGAAACAAGCGACTAACACACGAAAACAGCCGTCACGCTCACGCACGTGTTGCTCAGGGTGTGAAAATTGGCGAGCAATACCCTCTTGTAATGTGATTCGCCTAGGCCACTCCAAACCCAGCATCAAAATTCGTGGGGACGTCGAATTCGCAGCGTTCTTCGATCAATCTCTTTCCTTGCACGAAAGGAGCGGCCAAGACACAGAGACATCCGTCACGCTCACGCATGTGCTGCTCAGGGTCTGAAAATTGGCGAGCAATACCCTCTTGTAGTGTGCTTTGCCAAGGCCACTCCAAACCCCGCATAAAATTTCGCGGGGACGTCAAATTCGCAACGTTCTTCCATCGACCTCTCTCCTTGGACGAAAGGAGCAACCAGAACAGAGACATCCGTCACGCTCACGCACGTGCTGCTCAGGGTCTGAAAATTGGCGAGCAATACCCTCTTGTAGTGTGCTTCGCCAAGGCCACTCCAAACCCCGCATAAAATTCGCGGGGATGTCGAATTCGCAACGTTCTTCCATCGACCTCTCTCCTTGGACGAAAGGAGCGACCAAGACACAGAGACATCCGTCACGCTCACGCACGTGCTGCTCAGGGTTTGAGAATTGGCCATAAATACCCTCTTGTTGTGTGCTTCGCCCAGGCCACTCCAAACCCGGCATCAAAACTCGCGGGGACGTCGAATCCGCAGCGTTCTTCAATCGATCTCTCTCCTTGCACAAAAGGAGCGACCAAGACACAGAGACATCCGTCACGCTCACGCACGTGCTGCGCAAGGTCTGAAAATTGGCGAGCAATACCCTCTTGTAGTGTGCTTCGCCCAGGCCACTCCAAACCCGGCATCAAAACTCGCGGGGATGTCGAATCCGCAGCGTTCTTCAATCGACCTCTCTCTATCTGCACGAAACGAGCGACCAAGATACGCGAACTGCCGTGTCTCCCAAGCACGTGCAACACAGGGTGTGAAACTTGGCCAGCAGTCACGTCTTGTGCAGTGCACTGCCCAGGGCACTCCTAACCTGGCGTAACAAATCGTCGTGCAACCCAAGCTCGGTATACTGCCGAGACGCAGCGGCCAGTGTTGCATTGCTGCTCCATCTGGTCTCAGCCACCCTCTAGCCCATATGAAGCGAGAGACCTGCCGCGCGCACTTGCGCATTGCTGTAAACTTTGAACATATACATGTGCACGATTTACAGCGCAAGCATAGACATCCACTTCAATCGGAATAGGTCATGAGGATAAAGTGAGAACTGTACGCCACTCCATTACCCTAGGAAAGCGTAATGTTGGAATGTGGTAGAGAAGCCTTCCACATAGGGCAGATGCAACAGCACTATCATTTGTGGTCCAATCGAATGTGTGAGCATAGAATTGCATGGGTCGGATTGCCACGTATCTATTTCATACCTTTCCACTTACTAGTTGGAGCACTGTATTATGTTTAACAGTTACGACGATCCTACATTGCTGTACAACGCAACATCAGCAGGCTGAACACTCGTGTCTCAATTGGAAACGCGAAAAGCTCGTTCAGAGTACCCCGACCCCAATGTCGGAGTCAATATACTACTGACATCGGAGCTTTCTGAACACGCTCTAAGGGTATGGGACAACAGGTCCAGTTGGCAATATCACGTTCCGAAGCTGGGTAGGTACCGCGTCCAACCACGTATTCAACAATCGTTACCACATCAAAACCGCCTCTAAACCACCCAATCATTCTTGACCAGGGCGAAACGGACCCGATGTCCCACGCCCGAACCATACTCGTGTCCGATTGCGCCAGCGCATCGGTTGGAAGCGGAAATCCTGCCACAACCACAGATCTGTTTTGTGCGTCACTCCTCAGCTGTTGTGCATAGGCTAGGGCAATTTTTCCCCGCTAGTCTAACAGCCACCACGCACTAAGCTGCGCGGCACCACACAGGTGTGACCACCGAGAAGCGCGCTGCTCGACTCTGGCTAGTCATAGACATTCAAACCAACCTGGATGTGCGACACCACGTTGGAGTGATCCCCGAATCACGCGCAGCTCATTCCCCCTAGTCGAATTGCCTCCACGTATCTAGCTGTGCGACACCACTTAAGAGTGACCACCGTGGAGCGCTGTGGGCGACACGGAACGTGCCTAGGCTCACGCGCCCTAGTGTATCCGTGCTAGACCTAGTATATATTCTGAAACGTGCTACCCACGTTATCGGTCTAGACAATGGCTCTCTAGGACCTGGATGCCCAGCATGAGGTCATCTACTCCAGTCACTTGCGAGTTCTGCGATCGTTCGTTTCGCAATGCCCAGGCGTTTGGCCAGCACAGGGGTTCCCACCCCCTGTGCCGCCGGGGCATCCGGTCTAATCAGGCCCGGGCAGCGCGCGGCGCTGCGCATAACCCATTCCTTGGATTAGATGCAATCCGCGACGCACGTCCCGTCGACGAGGAGGACGACGACATGCCAGACCTTGAGTCCGACTCATATTCGGGCGACGGTGACGAAACTTCGTCCACCGTAAGCGACTCTGCCACCAGCCGCGAGGAGAATGATGAGGAGGAACGCTTCTGGGCAGAGGAGCAGGTCCGCAGGGACTTCGAAGACGCTCCACGTCCGCTGCAGGCCACGGCCGATCAGCCTCCAGTGCTGAACGTCGCGGCGCTGCGTTTTTTGCACTTCGTGCGGGAGGTGAACGGGCGCATTGGCATGGCCAACGCTGATGTCAACCGGCTGCTGCAGTTGTTCATGCACCCCGAGATGGCCCAGCGTGTGCTCTCTGAGTACACCAATGTCCGCGAGATGGAAGCATTCGAGCTGGAGCAACTCGATGGCCTCGGGCGCGGATGGTCCACTGTCACTTTCCAGGTCGAGGGCCAGCCGCCGCAGACCATGCACCTCCGCGACGCCTCGCAAGTGAGTGACTAGGGGCGTATTTCCAGCCCCCCAACACTGTCAAGCCTCCTTTGCCCCTCTAACTCTGGCTTGTATGCCTCGTGTGCCTCCTCTCGCAGGCGTTTGCTGACATCTACGGCAATCCGAACAATGCGGAGGGCTTCATGCTTCGGCCACGGATTGACAGCGACCCTGCCACTGGACAGCGGCAGTTTTCCACCCCAGACACGGGCACATGGTGGCACGACGCTCAGGTATGCCCGCACCTGCTAATGCATGAACCGTCCCATGCGTTGGACCCATGCCATTCATTTGACGGCAAATATTAGGCAGCTGCACCATGCAATCCTATCCTCCCTGCCCCATTTTCCTACGTTGTTGCCCGTGTAATCGTGGCAGGCCGAGATCGGTGAGGATGCGTTCGTTGGGGCGGTCATCCTCTACAGCGATGTCACTCATCTGAGCGAGAACGGCC